CGGCGGGAGCGCCACTGCGCTCCCAAGCGGCGCACTCTCCAGTGCGCCACCGGGCCGGCCCCCGCACTCCTTTTAAAGTCAATTCCTGTCACAAAGAAATGTGTTGCTACTTTCTGATCAAAGTAGTAATCCAGATTTTTATATAAAATCTGCCCATTTTTAAGCATGTCAAAACACACTTCGGTATCTCAGATGTGGTCCCTGCACAGCCAATGGGACAGTCCTAGTTCTGACCCTCAATATCTTCTGGGTCCCAGCTCCTGTCCAGCTCTGCACAAGTCCCCGGATGCTCCCTGCATGTCATGTGTGTTCAGTGTGCAGCTCTCCACAGGGGCGGGGTTGCGAGGCTCTGTGTGAGGTGCAGGGATACCGCACCTTTGCACATGTCGCTGATGCGCTCCTTGAAGACGTTGTGGCCGCGGCTGTCCACATGTGTGCGTAGGAAGTTCTTGAAGCGGTGGTGGATCTCCAGCCGGGGGCCCGCCATGCTCACCCACTCGCGCACAGAGTGGCCCTTGAGGTCCTCCAGGTTCTCGATGCTCTCGATCATCTCCTCATCCTCCTCACCGTCCTCCATGGCCCGCTCCACCTGGCGGCGCTTGCGGGTGGGACGTTCCTCATCCTCCTCATCGCTGTCTGGCGAGGTGAGGAGCACCAGCAAGTGAAGCCACTCCCAGCACCTCCCGGCTCTCCTTCCCCACTTCCTAAGGCTCTGGAAGCCAGGACAGCCCCTTCCACCAGCCTGCAGGCATGTGAACCTACCGTACAGGAGCCCACGGCGCATGCGGCCCAGGCCCCGGCCAGCCTCCCGGTCACGTTGCCGCATGGCCCGTTCAGCTGCCTCCCTCTGACTGGCCGTCAGCTCCTCTACATCGTCGTCATCCAGAGCCAGTCCCTCAGCCTCATAGGTGTCCAGCTCTGGGATGGCACGGTAGTCCCTGAGAGAGGCCAGAATGGATGAAGTTAGTACCCAAAAAAGACACCATCCAGGAACTGGGCCTCGGCCTGCTCCGCAAGGCTCAGGAGTCCCAGCCTGGTCAGGCCTAGAGGCTTCAGGTCAGAAACACAGAAGGCTCGAAAGGGTCTTCAATGGAGAAACACAATGGGGTCTGTCCACACAATGGAGTATTACTCAGCCTTAACAAAGAAGGACATTCTGACACCTGCTACGAAACGAATAGACCAGGAGGATGTAATGCTGACTGGAAAAAGCCAGACACAGAAGGGCAAATACTGTGTGACTCCACTTACATGAGGTCCCTAGAGTTGTCAGATTCACAAAGACAGAAAGTAAGATGATTTTGCTAGGGGATGTGGGGAGTGGGATGGGGAGTTTGGGATATTGGAAAAATCCTGGAGATGGACATTGGTGATGGCTACACAACAACGTGAATTTACAACGGTAAATCAAAGTTTGGGGAGGAATAAAATTAAAAGGTAATGTGAATCTTTCTGTGAACTTTTTTAAGTTCCGTTGTATTTTTTTTTTTTCCTTTTTGTCTTTTTTTTTTTTTACTGACTGGTAACGGGATCACAACCCTTGGTGTCGCACCTGTACCGGGAACCGGCAACGGGATCGCAACCCTCGGTGTTGCGCCCACACCATGCTCAGCCAGTGAGCAGGAACCGGTCTCCACATGGGATCTGAACCCTCGGCGGGAATGCCACCACGCTCCCAAGCGGCGCACTCTCCAGTGCGCCACCAGGCTGGCCCATGTTCCGTTGTATTTAATGCCACTGACTTGCACACTTAAAAATGGTTAGGATGGGGGGGGAGGGAGGAGGGAGGGAGGTTTCGGTGATGGGCCACAATAATCAACGACATTGTATATTGACAAAATAAGATAAAATTAAAAAAAGAATGGTTAAGATGATAAATTTTATGTATTTTGCCAAAATTAAAATTAAAATAGTGGGTGGTTTCTAGACAACTTCAAGCACCCAATAAGGTATTCAAGGAACCACAAATATTCAGGACAGAAAGGCTTCAGAGAGCCAACCCCAAGCGCCCCCCACACCTGAAATCTCCCTGCACCGTCTCTGTCTCTGACCATGCCTCCTTCAAACACCCTGATGTCCTGGGAAGGGCATCAGTACACAGTCAGCCAAACCAGCCTCTCTGAAACGGCCACCCACTGGCTCAACCATCAGGGCTATGTCAAGACCATCAAATACTCATTTTCCATGTGATTATCTTTCAGATATTTGAAGAAAAGCCAATGCCTTAATAAGAAATCCACAAGAGCAAAGTACTGCACTTTCCTCCCTGCACTGCTGAAAGGCAGACATCACTACTCCATCCGAAAGACGAGGAAACTGGTATTTGAGGGGGTACTGTGATTTCTGCCAAATGTTATTCAGCAAAGCTGGGTGTCAAAATACGGTCCAACTACAGATTGCTGGCTCTTTGCTTGATACCAAGCCACCTCTCTAAGACAATCTTCTTGAATTCTCCTTTTCAAAGTAAGTGATGATTAAGAAAATTGCTACTTTTTTTTTTTTGGGTGCTGTAAACGCTGTCAGTCTACTCTTAAAACAGATAAACTCCACATCACTAATACTAGAAACAGAACCCAAGTAAATAGCTGAGCTGATCTGGGTCAGAATTTGTGGTAGATTAAATTATGTCAACCCCAAACTCCCTGAAGCTTGAATTGTGTCCCCCAAGTTTTTATGTATTAGAAACTTGGCCCTCACTGTGACTGTTAAAAGGGTGGGAAATCCTATCATGGTAATCAAAAGGTAGACCCTGAAGAGGTAATTGGATTGTAGGACTGTGCAGTAGTGAGTGGATTAAAAATGGTGGTCAGAGGTGTGGTTCTGAGGGCTTTAAAAGAAGAGGAGAGTGTGTCTCTTGCTCTCTCTGCTTCCACCATCTTGCCATATGAGACCCCTGGGTTGCTGTTGCCACCACCAGATGGACTTTAGACTTCACGGCCTCAGAAACTGTAGGCAATAAACTTTGTTTTCTTTATAAATCACCCAGTCTCAGGCATTTTGTACTAAGCAACATAAACAGACTAATAAAGAATTCTTCAGTGTTCTCAAGGAAAAGGTCTCTGTTTGACTCTTCCAGGAGGTCAAGTCACACCAAACATCCTCAGCAAAACTGTCATTTGGTCCACACACAAAAAAATTTAAATTGGACTTCTTCAAATCTCAAAACTCTTGTACCTCAAAAGGCAACATTAAAGAATGACTAAGACAAGCCACAGATTGAAGATAAAAATTTGTGAATTACACATCTGATAGAGAACTTGTATTTAGAATGCTATAAAAAACAAAACAAAACAAAAACTCTTACAACTCAACAATAAAAAGTCAAGCAACACAATGAAGACTGGGTAAAGGATCTGAACAGACTTTTCTACAAAGACATACATGGGTACTTCAAAAAGTTCATGGAAATATAGTTACAAAAGCTAATACAAATCTTCCCATGAACTTTTTGAAGAACCCTCTCACAAATGGCCAATAAGTACATGAAAAGACGCTCAGCATCACTAGCCATCAGGGAAATGTGAATTAACACCACAGTGGGCTACCACTTCACACCCATCAGGATGACTAGAATCAAAAACACAGATGAGTGTTAGAGAATGTATGGAGAAACTTGAACACTCATACACTGCTGATGGGAATGTAAATGGTGCAGCTGCTTTGGAAAACAGTCTGGCAGTTCCTCAAAAGATTAAACACATGACCCAACAACCCCATTCCTAGATAGAACTGAAAAGATGTCCACATAAAAACATGTACATGAATGTTCACAGCAGCATTATTCATAACAGCCAAAAAGTGCAAAGAACCCAGATGGCCATCAACTGATGGATAAATAAAATGGGCTATATCCATAAAATGGAATATTATTCAGCCACAAAAAGGACTGAAGTACTGCTACATGCGACATCATGGATAAGCCTTAAAAACAACATTAAGGGGGGCCTGCCCATGGCTCACTCAGGAGAGTGTGGTGCTAGTAACACCAAGGCCACGGGTTCGGATCCCATATACGGATGGCCGGTTTGCTCAC